AGGGCGTATTTGGGTGCTGTGGAAGGACACAACCCGCCTAACTCCGTTCTTTAAAAGTGATCAACTAATAACCTGTTCGGTGCAGCTTCCAGGTTGTGAGGGGGAGTTCTTTTGCTCCTTTATTTACGCATCTAATTGCCCGGTCGAGCGTAAGGAGCTGTGGCGTGACTTGAGGGATCACTATGCATCCCCCATCATAAGAAATAAGCCTTGGATTATCTATGGTGATTTTAATGTCACTCTCGACATGGCGGAGCACTCGCGTGTCGATATAACACCGGAGATCACCTCGGCCATGAAAGACTTTCAAGAGCTGGTACACGATTGTTCCCTCACGGATATGTGCTCTCAAGGGCCTCTCTACACCTGGTGCAATAAAAGAGAAGATGATCTAATTCTGAAAAAGTTAGATAGGGTGATGGTGAATGATAAGTGGCTTCATAATTACCCTCAAGCGTACAGTGTGTTTGAAGCGGGTGGCTGTTCCGATCACCTGCGGTGTCGCATTAAGATCACTGCGGACGGGGAAGCAGAGGTCCGACGTCGAAAACCTTTCAAGTTTGTTAATGTGTTACTAGAAATGGAGGATTTTAAGCCAATTATTGATAACTATTGGAAGGAGACAGAAACCCTCTTCTTATCTACCTCTACGTTGTTTCGCTTCTCTAAGAAATGCAAAGGGCTGAAACCTATTCTCCGACGGCTGGCTAAGGAGAGGTTGGGTCATTTAGTTAAGCGCGCGAAGGAAGCTTTTGATATTCTTTGTCAAAAGCAAGAAGTAAACTTATCAAATCCTTCTGTGGGTTCATTGAAAGAGGAAAATGATGCTTATCAACGCTGGGATTTTATTGCTGGTCTTGAGGAAAAATTTCTCAAACAAACTTCTAAACTACATTGGCTCCATGTGGGGGATCGCAACAATAAAGTTTTCCATCGAGCGGCTGCTGTACGGAAAGCAAAGAATACTATAAAGGAGATTAAATGTCTTGATGGTGGAGTTGTTGAGACGATTGAGGATATTAAGACAGAGGCTGAGAGGTATTTCCGGGACTTCCTCCAATTCATTCCACCTGACTTCCATGGTACTGCGGTGGAGGAGCTCCAAGAGTTACTTCCATTCCGGTGCTCGGATGTTGATCAGCAACTGCTCACTCAAATGGTAACTGGGGAGGAGATTAAGAGGGTCTTATTTGCTATGCCAAACAATAAGGCTCCCGGTCCGGATGGTTACACATCGGAATTTTACAAAACAGCATGGGATATCATCGGAGCTGAGTTCATCCTTGCTATCCAATCGTTCTTTGCAAAGGGTTTCTTACCGAAAGGAACTAATTCCACTATTCTCGCACTTATACCAAAGAAGCTGGGAGCTAAGGAAATGAAGGACTACATGCCCATTTCTTGTTGTAATGTGATTTACAAAGTCATTTCCAAGATAATTGCAAACCGTCTAAAGCGAGTGCTTCCTCAATTCATCTAGGGAAATCAGTCTGCTTTCGTCCAAGACCGTCTCTTAATTGAGAATGTTTTACTAGCAACGGAGCTAGTAAAGGATTACCATAAAGACTCTGTCTCAAGTCGCTGTGCTATTAAGATTGATATTTCCAAGGCCTTCGATTCAGTTCAGTGGAGTTTCCTCTTCAAGGCTCTAACTGCTATGAACTTCCCGCCAACGTTTATATACTGGATCAATCTATGCATTACTACAGCGTCTTTCTCAGTCCAAGTAAACGGTGAGTTAGCTGGCTATTTCCGTAGCTCAAGAGGCTTACGCCAAGGTTGTTCTTTATCTCTGTATTTGTTTGTCATTTGCATGGACGTACTCTCGAAAATGCTTGACAAGGCTGCTGGTGCTGGTCAATTTGGCTATCACCCTAGTTGTCAATCTCTTGGTTTAACCCACCTTAGTTTTGCGGATGACCTCATGGTTCTCTCGGATGGTAAAGTGCGCTCTATTGACGGTATTGTCGGGGTTTTTAAACAGTTTGCAGAGAGCTCGGGCCTTAAGATTAGTATGGAGAAATCAACTATTTATCTTGCAGGAGCTACTCTCCCAATAAGGCAACAGGTCTCAAACCGTTTCTCTTTTGAAATGGGTACGCTCCCGGTCCGTTATCTTGGCCTCCCGCTTATCACGAAACAACTGTCCCACCGTGATTGTACACCTCTTTTTGAGCAGCTCAGAAAACGTATTGGATTATGGACTGTGCGTCACCTCTCTTTCGCCGGTCGTTTAAATCTCATAAGCTCAGTTCTTTGGAGTACTTGTAATTTTTGGCTCTCGGCCTTTCGATTACCTCGGGCTTGCATAAGAGCAGTGGACAAAATATGTTCTCGGTTCCTTTGGTCGGGACCGGATATGAGCTCTAACAGTGCTAAAGTGTCTTGGGACAAAGTGTGCAAGCCAAAGTGGGAAGGTGGCCTTGGTCTTAGATCCCTAACTGAAGCAAACAATGTAAGCATTCTGAAGCTCATTTGGCGTATTGTGTCTCATAGCAACTCTTTATGGGTACAGTGGATTGATACTTATCTTCTAAAGCATTCTTCCTTCTGGTCTATTGCTACTAATACGTCTAAAGGATCATGGATTTGGAAAAAGTTGTTAAAATATCGGGCTGTGGCTAAACCTCTTACTAAGGTGGAAGTTGGAAATGGGCGGACAACATCATTCTGGTATGACAACTGGTCCGAATTGGGTAGACTTGCAGAGGTGGTTGATCACAGAGCTGTTATCGATATGGGCATTGGCTGGGGACGAAGTGTCGCGTCGGCTTGGACCAATCGCCGTCGGCGACGACACCGCACTGCGCAGTTGAACTCTATAGAGGAAACACTGCATCTAAATCACCGATCCAGCACTCAAAGAGAGGATATAGTCCTGTGGCGGGCTGCAAATGATAGTTATAAACAGAGCTTCTCTACCAAAGATACGTGGAATCATATTAGAACAACTTCAAATCGGGTGGCTTGGTTTAAGGGCGTCTGGTTTCCCCATTCAACTCCAAAATTCTCTTTTTGTGTGTGGTTGGCAGTTTGGGATCGCCTACCCACAGGTGATCATATGATCCGCTGGGACAGAGGGCTCTCGGGGCTATGCGGCTTTTGTCAACGGGGTGTGGAGTCTCGCAACCATTTGTTCTTTAATTGTGCCTATTCTTCTACGGTCTGGGCCGCTCTTGCCAAGGGTCTTCTCAGCACTAACTACTCAACAGACTGGGACTTTCTACTACCATTCCTCTCACAACCCCAAAGAGACAGAGTTCACACCTTCCTCCTCCAAACAGTCATCTATGGCATTTGGAGAGAGCGGAATGGACGACGCCATGACGAACCCCCAACACCAGCAGCACAACTCATTCGATATCTTGATAAGCAAATACGGGACCGACTATCTTCCATTCGGCGAGCAGGCGATAGACGGTATGATGCGAGCTTTCAACTATGGATCCAATTTCGTAGATAATTGTTTGGCTTTCTTTTTATAAGTTTTTATCAGCTCTATCTCAATCAAAAGATGCACTTGTTGTAAAACAGTTATTTTTATTTTGAATATAATTTAACATTAAATTCAAAAAAAAAAAAAAATTATTATCAATTATTTAAAATTATTCTACTTTTAGAAATTTTAAAACTTGTCTCATTATTTTTTTATCATTTGTTTTTGGTATCATGTTGATGAGTAAAATCAACGACAACATAAAACCGAGTAAGACCTTCCAATACTCCTTTTTATATCCCCTCTTGTATCATTTCTGCGTGCACCGTACAAGTACTTAATTTAATAAATTTGAGAGGAGCTTAATCAAATGAACAGTTTAATATCGTGGTTATTTATGATAATCACCAGATTTTTTATTTATCTTATAGATAAAAGTCTTAGCCATCTGTTTAGCTATAGATTATATAGTACAATTTTTCTTAATCAGTGGTTATTGAATATCATCACACGAAAACTATATTTATTGATAGAAATTACGGGTTGTTACAATGTTGTAAGGTGTACTCTTGTACCATTAGATTATGGTCTATAAAACTATCAAACTATAGTTAGTACTCTTGCAATGTAATGCCTAGTGTGGTACATATTAACTTCAATTTTGTGATTTAAAATCATATAACTTGGGATCCTATAACAAATATAATGAATCTTCCAATAGATTGATAAGTGGAATTCAACAATTATCCAGTTACTGCAAAAAAATGGATTAAACAAAGAAAAAAAAATGTAATGATGAGAGAAGCAAAAAAAAACTTCTAGAGGTTTGAATGGAACAGAGAGGCTGATGATGGCATGTCGACCCACACCCCCCAAGTTGTCTCTTTGATCCTATTGCTTCTCTCATACTTATTCCATCTCTTTTTATTTTATTTTAACATTATGTTTTAGTTTTCTTTTTGTCTTTCTTTTAGGTTCCTTTACAGCTTAATTATTTTAAAATTATAACTTTTTAAAAATTAATTAGCTTTTACTTATTAAAAAGATAGTACTTTGATGGCTCTTCTTGGACAAGGGACAAAATTTTCTTTTTGATTTTGGAAATACTTTATAACTAGTTTTAGGTATTAGGCTATTAGCTATTATATTTACTGAATGGGCGTAATAAGAAAATAGCATCTTTCTATATTTCTTCTTTCGGGATTAGTAAAAAATTAGGTGCTTAATTATAACCTACACTATGCATCAGAAAAAAGCTTCAAAATTATCATAGATATAATAAGCTGTATTTTTTGTCACTTTAACTAAAAATAGTGAAATAAAAAATATCACTTAGACTAATTTGTCTAGTGTTTACACAGGTTTAAATTGAATCATGTCTAAAATAGGATTTAATACATTTAAGGATTGAAACACTTTGGGGATTTAGAGACGATATATATACAGTATATTTTTTATTCGTTTAAGAAGTTAAAAGTTGAAAATTGAACCCAAAAAAACAGAAAAAAAACTATGAACTATCAAGTCAACAACATAGGCTTTGATTTGAGTCCGACCCGACCAGCATAAGCACGTTTCAGTTTTATTGGGCTTTATCAGTAAGTTTTACAAAAGGCCTTAGGCCCATCATCAAACCAAAAAGTACAATACAAGAAAACCCCTTATTAACTGAAACAATGAATCCAACAAATGAGAAAACAAACAATACAAGAGAAACTCAGTTTTTCTTTTTGTTTCTTCTGTTTCTTAAGAACTTCCAAACAAATGGTGGGGGGTGGGAAGTCAATAGAATTGCTTGAGACAATCCATGAGAACATCAGTGTGTTCAGGCTTGCCAGCAGAAACTCGAACATAGCCTTTAAGCTCTTTACTGTTGTAATGCCGAACCATCACACCCATTTTCGCCAAATCCTCCTTCAGCTTCTTGGCGTCCATTCCAGATGTAACCTCACAGAGAATGAAATTGGAATGACTCGGATAAGGATTCAAGAAAGGGACTTCTTTCAAAAGCCCGAAAAGTCTTTCTCTTTCCCGCACCAACGCATCTCTCACGTCTTCCAAGTATTTCCCATTTGAGAGTGCTGCTAATGCAGCTACTTCCCCTGCAACAGAGACATTGTATGGTTGCTTTGCTCTCCATAGGTACTCGATTATGCTTAATGGAAACGCTCCATATCCAACTCGGAGCCCGGCTAAACCTGAAAATGTCATAAGGAACTCTTTACATGCAGACTATATATAGTGTGTTTAGATTTATAATTCACTTGTGATAAAACCAAATTTACCAGCTCGTTTGCTAAATGTGCGGAGAACTATTAGGTTTTCATACTTCTTCACCCACTTCATCCTTGATTCAATTCCTGAGAATTCGATGTAAGCTTCATCAAGAACAACAAGTATTGGCATCTTTAGAATCTTCAACAGATCATCCTCGCTGATGACACTGTACAAAACCAAAATTCGGTTAATCATGAAAGATTGATAAAAGTATCTCCTTGTGTTTAAAGTGATGTTTTACCTCCCATCTGGATTGTTGGGAGAAGTTAGAAATATGCATTTTGGTTTTTCTAGTTCTACAACTTCAGCGATGCGGTCTACATTCAAGCTGAAATCAGGGTTCCTTGGAACTGCAAAGGAAACAAAAACCAACATGTCTAAGACTACATATATAAAGAAAGAGGGAACAAAAATCTAAGAGAGTGAAACACATTAAATTATAAACCTTTCACCTTTAATGACACCTGCAGCATTCACAGCAGCATCAAACACATACATTGAGAAAGTTGGAGGACAGTCTATAATCTTCTCCCCAGGATCCAACACGCATCTACATAAAACAGAATTTTAGTCAGGAAATGCGGTTCTGGTGAGGGAAAGAAGCTCAATTTACTGAACAATCAAATCTTCAAGCCATACCTCATAATCAAATCGATAAGTTCGTCAGCGCCACAGCCTACAAGTATGTATTCTGGCTCAAGACCAGAGTCTTGAGCAAGGGCACCACGAAGTCTACGACTTTGTGGATCAGGATATACATAAGGGAATTTCATATTTCCTAGTGCTTCAAAAACCTACACAGAGCTTCTGAAACCTGAAGTTAGAGAGGACAACAAACTAGCAACTTACCTTTTACCAACCATCATCAACATATACATGAATGAGTGAGAGAAAGATATAAACTTGCCTCTGGAGGAGGACCATATGGGTTCTCATTTGCATCTAACTTGACAATATCCTCAGGCTTTCTTCCCAATTGAGCAGACAACACCTAATTACAAACAAACAGTCCACATTTTAGAAGATAAATCCAATCCAATCCAATCATCTAACCAAAGTCAACCCTCAGTGCAATTACCTCAAAGGGTAAAATAGGCTGATAAGCAGCCAATTGCCTCAAATGTGGACGGATAAAAGAGTCTCCCATGGTTATGTTCTTGGGTTCGTCTACAGCTGCACTTGACGACTGAAGACAATAAACCCTACTGATGCTCTTCCTCAAAGCTCGCGACTTTCGAAGATTTGACTCTGAAGAATGAATAGAGAACGATGGAGCGCCCTGAACATTGATCACACCCATCAGTTTTTTTTTGTTTGTCTGCGCATAGCAAAGGTGGAATCAGTTCAATCTAGGTCAACTGTGCATCCGATTACTCGGGATTAGCAAAGTCATAATCGATATGAAGAGGGTATGTACCTGGAAGTTGTGACTCTACAAGAAAACCCTAAGTACACGAGAAGGGGGCGTGGCGAAGAGTCAGACTCGAGAGAGATAGTGAGTTAAGTCAACAAAAAGCTACAATTTTTCGATGACCCACTTGGCGATTTCCGGACAAAGTTTTGATTTTTATATTTCTGAGTCTAAAATGGTTTTTGTTTTGCCCTGGCCCCTGAGTGACTGTAAATTCTCCCGTACCAATTTAGGGGTTATCCGAAATTGAATCCGGTTCAGAAGATTCGGATCTATTGGGAGAGTTAGGTTAGGTGATTAAAGAGTCGTGCCGTTATGACTTTTTTGACCAATATAAAAAAGTTTGCAAGTCTTTCAAGATTTAGTGTTAAATAAAATTAAAGTCTACTCTTTTTTTCATATGAAAGGTCACCTAATTTCTCTTCCAATCTTTCCAATGATTCCGGAGAAGCCTATACTAGTTTTGATTCTTCAAGATGATTTCATTTCTTTGTCGTTATTTATGATGATCTTTATATTTCTTAAATGTTTTTTTTTTTCATTTTTCTTATGTAGTTCGGTTTAAATTGGTATGATCGGTCGGCAATCTTTTGATCCATTGCACCGGATAGAATCATAGATGTAGTTTGAATTATAATTTAGAACATGATTTCTTTGAAAGTTAAAAAACCAAATACAAAAACTATACAGTTGTGACTTTAGGAGATTACTAGTTGCATAAGACTTTTAGGCATGGCCGGTCCTTGGCATGAACCAAACGAGTAAGTGTACTACTCTATACAAGACTAGAAACATTTTGACAAGTCTTTTGATTCAGAATGAAGTAGTAGTAGTACTACTCTATTAAATAAAGACCCATTTTAGTATGATGAAAAGATCCCCAAAAGTTTTTAGTATGATTAAAAGACATTTTACACATTAACTTTTGTGTTCTTTTATTCGACCCCTCCTAATTTTAGAGGGTACAAATCTTCTTGATCACACATTTAAAAAACAAACACAAGTGGAATGTTTCAAACACAACCTTTAAAAGTTTTCGGGCGGTAACATGATAAATACAAACACTTTTTTACCTTCGTTTCTTTGGAATATACAAGATTTCTAAAAGTTACTATTGCACCCTATTATTCTAACTCTCTTTCATTTTTCACCTTATAAATTCGTATTTATTCAAATCACACCTCACGCAACAGGCAAACGAATCAAGAAGATAGAAGAACCCAAGAAAGGCTATAGAATGTGTTATTAAAAAATTTAGGACTCTAAAAATTAATGGTTGTGAACCACCCAAAAACTACAAACAAATCATTTTCAGACAGTTACATTTTTTCTCCACAAGAAAAAAGCCCCGTAACTTATGAATTCTACAAAATAGCCCCAATCCTCTGATTCACAATTATCACGGTGGAGATCGCGATCACCGTGGATGAGTTTTCACCGGCGATCTATGAGACGAACTTCTCAAAACAATAAGCTTCTTCAAAACCCTCATCAACACCAAAACGTTCAGATTCTTCTTCTTCTTCTTTGGTGTATTCTTCGACAACTTCATCCCCGTCCCGCACCCCACGGCCACGGCGGAATTCTCATCGGTAAAGAAAGAAGTTTTCTTCTCTCCACCGTCGCCGCCGGTTTCAATCCTCAGACTCTGGCTTCTAGGAGGCAAATCTTCGTTGAGATCTTCCCATAACATATCCATTTTGTCCTCTGCTTTGTCCTCGCTCCAACGTCTTCTCATCTCCACGTACGAGAAGCTCTTCGCCTGATCGTGGAGATCACCCTCTTTTCCGATGACTAACCTCGCGAATTCAAAGTCGTAATCTTTCCGGCGGGAAGAATGAACCGGTGAGTGTTTCCACAGAGGAGGTGAATCGAGACCGGAACGGTGAGAAGAAGAATCATGAGAAGCAAGCGACGGGAAGCTAAACTCTTCAGAGGACACACTGTTCAGAGCCATTCTTCTCAGTTCTCAGATCAAGAAAACTAAAGAAACCAATTAAAGATTATTAAAATAAAAGAAGAAGAGAGGACTAAAGAGACAACACACAGTTTGTGTTTTGTTGGTGATGTTGGATTCGTTACTCTGTTTTTTTATTTTTTATTTTTCTGCTTCAACTGCTACAACAAGTTCTCTCTTTTATTTTTCTGTCTGAGGATTTTAGCTTTTAGGAGTTGCAGAGGAAAGATTTTGGTATATTCGAAAGAAATCTATAGTTATGGTAACAAATTAATTTCTTTTGGTCTCTTTAGTGGGTTCTTTTTTTCTTCAAGTTTCGATATTTTATAGGCGATTTTATTTCTCAATTAAGTCAACTTAACTTTTCTTTTTTAGGTAATTTCTAGTTTATAACCTTTTTTGTATACACGTATCCCTCTATTTGTAAACTTGATCAGATTAGCTTGATCAATTCTTACCATGTTACCATGATCCGTTAGCTTGTACAGAGAACATCAGTTATTACTTATCAAGTTACAGATTGTGTGCTAATATATGCTTTGAAACAACTTGGTTTTGGATTAGCTATAAGATAAGAAATGTATATAAAAAAAGAGTTATGAGAGTGACAGAACGCAGTTTCAATTTGACATCTCATCTACCGGGAGGGAGGAGTGATTGATTGAGGAAAGATGAACATAGAACGTTGTCACCATCCATTATCATCAATGTTATAACTCCACCTCATCAGATTACTATTCCTTCTGCAATTTGACTATTGAAACGTGTATTTCAAATTTCAAAGTCGACATTTTTTGTTTTTTCAAAGAGTTTAAACCAACCAACGAAGAAAAATAGAGGATCGTATGAAGAAAAGGTGCAAATCTTGAATTGAAAACCGTTAGTTCATATATGCTTGTAAGAACAATTTAAGCAAAACCCATCTCTGTTTATAAGAAAATTTTAAGGTCACAAAAGGGTTTAGGCGTGGGTGTGTGCTAAAAATGGCGTGTGCTTAAACTCACAGCATATTTACCAACATTGGAGAAGATGATAATCTCATCTTCGTTGCTCCTCTTTCCTTCCTCAGATCTTCTTGAACCATCTGAATTTGTTAGACAGAACCATGGTCCATGCTCATAGTAGGTCGAGATAAGGAAAAAGAAAAAAAGGTTGATGCTCTGGTTTGCAGTTCTCGCAGTGGACCAGAAAGCTTAGCGAAAGGCTTTTAAGGTGACCGGAGAGATTCTTGGCGTCTAAGTGGAATGCCTTCTTCTTCATCAGTATGCTTGCTTATGCGCAATGGTAATATTACCGATGAACCTGCAATAACATAGTCAATAAAGGTCAGTTGCATTGCAAACTCTCAGAATCTCCAAAGGAATACAGACACTTGGTGTTAAGAATGTATGAATATACCAGATGGCAATCCTTTTGTCAATCACAAATGACTATAGATACCAATGCTAGATTTCTAGTTAAGAGTGTGTACTGTGCACATATGTATATTCTTATTCCTCGTAGCTGAGAGGAAGTAAGAATATCTTGAGATTTCTTATGACATCTGCATACAATATTTTCCTCATTGATGCTCTTGGCTGCGTGTTTTCCAAGATGGTAAAAAAGAGCACCGGTGCATAAGAATTTATAAATGAAATCAAGGAACTCACCCTCGACCATGTCCTTTGTTCTGTGGAGAAGAAAAGTGCCTGACAGTATTGTAACAAATCCACACATTTCTGTGACAATTTGAGTACCGTTTTGCCGATCCCAGTCCTGTTCACAAATCCAGTGATTTGATCATGTACTGATATTGAAGCAACACAACCATGCATACATTTTGTGGGAGAAGACGCTACCTTAAACATGATGACACTGGCCAAAATAGTTAGAGATGTGAACATCACGTAGTATATTGGAGATACTATAGCTGTATTGAATGTATCAAGAGCCTGCAAGTGAAAAGCAATACACAAATGCAATTCTTAGTAACAAAGGTACTAAGGTAAACAACTAAGTACCCACGTCAATTTCTGCAAATCGTTATCTTGAAAATCACTTAATTATTAGTTACCTTGTTTAAGTAGTTCAGTTGGGTAATCACACAGGTAAGTACAACCAGGGTAAATATCCATGTTTGAGGATAAAATAATTGATTTGTTCCTGAGAACGTCAGCTTTAGTGCTATTCCAAGTGCTTTTACACTCATTACCTGTTCACATGTTTGACAATATTATTTTCGGAAAAGTGAATCAAGATTCCTTTTAAGGATAAATAGGATTACAAACTCAAAAAATACATACCGATAATGATCCCACAAGCGAACAAATACCAATGTAAACCATTACGTTTGTTTGCCCATATTGGGGCACAAAACGGATAATGAGAAATACAGCAGCCCCAATTACCAGACTCGCATAGAACATGAATGCTGCAACAAACTAGAAGAAGTTAGAAAAAGGAAAATAATAACGGTGAGATGGTTCAAATTACTATCTCCCATACAGTAGAGTATCACAGTTCCATCAAGCAACACACCTGGTTCTGTTGCAAGATTCCAAACTTCAAGCACAGAATCAATTTCACGTTCTTGAGGAGCATGTAGGACAATTGTCGTCGAACCAACAACACATAAGGCACAGCCAAGAATTCCAAAGATATGTAGTTTCTCCCGTAATATAATATGAGCTAAGACAGCACTGAGATCCAAATAGCAAAGTGTATGAGAAAGAAAGAAAAATCACTGATTTAATCGCATATAGAAAACCTGACAGAAGAGTCAGAGAAATGACTACTCTCTTGCCTGATAATGATACTGACAGCACCTAGAGGAGTGACAAGAATAGCTGGCGCAAATGCATAAGCAGCAAAGTTGGCAATTTCACCAAGTAACACTGAAAGTAGCAGAAACCAATGAGAGGTAAATAAACCAACAATATAGTAATCACTAAGAAAAAGATTGAAAAATCCAACGCCAACAAGACTCACTGGTTGTCATGCCGATCCACCAAAGAGGCTCGTAAAGATAAGAATACCCACCAACACCTACAAGTATCAGACTGAATTATACTGTGAAAGCAAACCTAAAGGAACAACATTTACACGCCACAATGCATGTAATCAAGAAAAAAACACAAGTCTAGAAACAATGTGGCTAATAACTATAAAGAGAAGTTCCACAGAGAAAAGAACACAAATCTCCCATCTGTTCACAACCTCTAAATAGCTTAGCTAATTGAATCAGAATCCTGATAAGTTCAACTACAAGTCTACAATTAGAGATCCCAAATTCTCATTAGCAGCTAGGTGAGTTGTACATAACTCTGCACACTAAAAATCCACAATTCCGAAAAATTGAAACCCTCGAAACCACATTCCGAATTCAGAAAGAGATATATAAAATATACCTGCCCTAGTGCCAGTAGTAGCAGATTTCTTAAGCCCTTTCTTCTTAACAATGAAGCTAGCTCCAATGAACAAACTAGAAGACAAGGCCAAAACCAAACCCTTGATGTTATCAGACGACATCCCTTTATAAGAATCTCGCCAGCTTCCTCCACCTGATTCCGCCATCCCCAAATCCAAAATTCGAAACCTTTATTGCCTATTTAACTTAAACCCAGATGAGAAAACCCTAAATCCGCCAGATCGGAACAACGTAAGATCGAATCAGAGAGAAGAAGAAGAAGAAGAAATCGCCTCTTCTCCGCCCTTTTACTAATTCCTGCTTAAAATAGCAGGAGGAATGAATCAGAGGTTGCGGTTGGGGGAAGAAACGAGATTTGAAATAGCGGAGCAAGAGGGGAAGGAGAAGATCTTGAAGGTGAAAGATTTGTTGAGGACCAAAAAAATAAAACGCTGAGAAGAGTTAATGACTGACCCCTCTACGGTCACTTTCCGGCGCCACCATTCCTTCTTTTTCACTAAAAATTATATAAAAAGATAACTCTCACAATAAAATTTGGTTTCTGAAATATATATATCTACACCATAAATAAATTTTAGGAGTTTTTTTAATCGAACGGTATATATATATATATATATATATATATAAACAACAAAATAAATAAAATGCCGCAATCATAATATTCTCGTATTGATAAGAGACATACTTTTTTTTTAATGTGGGTATAATATACATGATGCATCATATATATTATTACATGTTAGAGAGTGTAAATTTCTATATGATTTTGTGTCTCCTACAAGACGAGTTTGGTGAGTGAGACCAAGATTAAAGTTGGATTATTCCACTTCCAAGGTGATGATTATATAAGAACACATTGGCTCTGTCTCTTTTAAAAGATAAAATTACACCAAAAATAAAACCTCCAAGTTTCATAGAAAAGAGCTCATGTTTCAACTACAGGTAGGTAGTATGAGTGTAGAACATGAGTGAAGTGACTGTTTTTTAGAAGTGGTCAAGTCAAATAGTGTTAATTTTTTTAGAAAAGTATAGATTTTAATTTTGGTCAAAAATTTTGAACAGTTGGTTGTAAAACAGGTTAGTATATGGTTTTGTGATTACATAGTGCATTTAAGTGGTATTAGTTTATAATTATCATATTTATGAATTTCAATTTCAATATTGGTAACTTTGACTATATTTATTCAATGTTAAAATTTTCACCACATATTATGATCAGTTTTTCTTCTTCTTGGGATTATTTACTCTTAGTTGAATAGAATATTTTTCCATATAAACAAAAACAGTAATTCTTTTTAGTCAAACCAAGGGGGGTGTATTGAAAATAGAATTCTAGAGGATTTTGGTTTTGTTTTAAAATCCTCTGTTATTCAACTTGTCATTTTTAAATCTCTTTTCAAATCCAGTGTTATTCAATATGACATTTGTAAAAAATCATTCAAAGTCACTCACAATCCTTGTTATTCAATCAACAATTTGTAAAACTCATAACAAATCCACTGTTATTGAAAACATAACTTTTTTTTTTTTGAAAAAACCATAAAAGTGATTTTGGGAGACTTTGAATACATTTTTATAAGAGAAATCCAATTAAAAAGTCACACCTTAGAAGGTGTGATTTTGAAGGATTGGTTTAAACAAAAAAACAAGAGATCATATACAAGAAAAAATCACAAATCAAACACATGCTCTCGACACAAGACCAAACTACAAACTGAGCCTTTCACAACAATTTCCCAAATTCCCAGAATTCTCAAAAATTTGTAGTAGTGTGTTGAAGATTGGTGACTGGTTAGAAGCTTGTAACGTCGAACACATGCTCTCGACACAAGACCAACTAACCCAATGACGTTCTCGAGACTTCTGTTGTAACAAGTTGTCGTTTCAACAAACTAGCTATTTTATGATGGAACCACAATATTATTTTGATGAGGAAAGCCTAACTCCGCCAGCCACATGATTCTCTTACCAAATGAAGGCTTCACACATTCTATGATTTGACACTTAAAAGTGACACATTTTTCTTCTTGACATTTCATAAGCTTCATTCCACTGAAGTTTGCAGGGACTCCATTGACATATACTAAAGTTTTTTATCATCTGTCTTGATGCAGTCTTGAAGCAGAGCATAAACGGTGGAGCAAAACAACCCAGAAAATTATTAAATTTAGTGGGAATATCAACAACAGTCATACGAAGACACGGAAAAAATCAGATCACGATTCGGATTTTCGGTTTGAAAGTTATCGCCACTTTTACAGAACAGATCCGAAATGGTGCAACCTGGGAATAGCCAAATTTGAGAACAATTTCCCATAAAACTGTTAAGAATCTGAGATTTGTGTTACGATGGTGAAAAACAGAGTATGAATGTAATAAAACCTTTATTGACTTGATTGTATTACAAACTGAATTGTGTTGTGTGACAGAAACAAAGACACATTCTCTATTTATAACAAGTGAACAATTGTGTCTATCTAAGGAAGAGACACAACTCTTAATCTAAAAGACACAACTGTTTAGAACAAGACAACTTGTGTCTCTTGAACAAGTAACTAACTTATGTGACGAGATGTGATTATACTCCAACACTCCCCCTTAATCATATCTCGGCTTTACTCCAAGCTTCCTTCTAAGCTCTTCGAACCTTGAGACGCTTAAGGCCTTGGTGAGTATATCGGCGAGTTGATCTTCTCCTTTGCAATACTCAAGTTGAATGAGTCCTTTCTGCTCAGCTTCTCGTACGAAATGGTACTTAATCTCTATGTGCTTCGTTCTTCTATGCTGCACCGGATTCTTTCCAATTCCTATTGCCGACTTGTTGTCACAGTAGATGGGAGTCCCTTCTTCAAACTGTAACCCAAAATCCTCCAAGATTCTT